GTGGCAGGCAACTCATTTCCCAAATCCCAAAACCCTGTCCGCCATCCACAAGATGCTGCAGCGCAGGTTCACCATTCGGCCCGTCGAGTCCGCTCTGCCCTTCAATAGGATCGTGGCCGTTCCGATAATCCTCAACTCCGCTTTCCTGCCTTTCATCCTCCAACAACCCTGGATTCCCCTTACCCTGTCTCAGCCTTGAATATACGCAATGACCCAGACCCAGAACTCCACACGTTCTCCATGCTCTGAGACGAAATTTCTCCCCATCTCTGCCTTAAAAAGGCGACCCCTCACACTCTGAGATTATTTCCCCCCTCTCCTGCGGTCTTAGACTGTCCCACAAGGGGAAGTAACCTACCCGCATCTCAAGTCCCTGAAGTATCTTGTACGTTTTAATAAGGTCAACTTTCATTCTTCTCTTTTTCCAGTGAGTACAGGGCGAAAGTACTCAACCCATCCTCGTAAGACAGACCCTCCCTATTTTTAAGGGCAAGAGGGTAACTAGGGAGAGAATAGGGCCTCTTTAAGATCAGCAAGGCTGCCTATGTGTGCAACATGGGGGGAGATACTAAACGATTTTACATCAGTGTTTCTGTGGAGAAGGATGTGGACGGTACAGAACATGGAGCAATAATTAGCAACATCTTGAAAAATGTCCATATTACAGAGGAGGCGGTGGACGGCTTAAAACGCATAAAGGTGAATAAATCCCTGGGGCCTGATCAGGTGTACCCTAGAACTCTATGGAAAGCTAGGGAAGTGATTGCTGGGTCCCTTGCTGAGATATTTGTATCATTAATAGTCACAGGTGAGGTGCCGGGAGACTGGAGGGTGGTTAACGTGGTGCCATTATTTAAGAAAGATGATAAGGATAAACCAGGGAACTACAGATCGGTGCGCCTGACAGCGGTGGTGGGCAAATTGTTGGAGGGAATCCTGAGGGACAGGACTTACACTTTTTTTGGAAAGGCAAGGACTGAGTAGGGATGGTCAACATGGCTTTGTGCTTGGGAAATCGTATCTCACTAACTTGACTGAGTTTTTTGAAGATGTAACGAAGAGGATTGATGAGGGAGGAGCGATGGATGTCAGTAAGGCGTTCGACAAGGTTAGATCACATGGAGTACACGAGAACTAGCCATTTGGATACAGAACTGGCTCGAAGGTTGGAGACAAAGGCTGGTGGTGGAAGGTTGGTTTTCAGACTAAAGGCCTGTGCCACAAGGATGGGTGCTGGGTCCACTGCTTTTCATTTTTGATATAAATGATTTAGATGTGAACATGGGTGGAATGGTTTGGAAGTTTGCAGATGACACCAAAATTGGAGGTGGAATGGACAGTGAAGGAGGTTACCTCACAGTACAATGGGATCTTGAACAGATGGGCCAATGGGCCGAGGAATGGCAGATGGAGTTTAAATTAAATAAATGTGAGGTGCTGCATTTTGGAAAGGCAAATCAAGGCAGGACTTATACACTTAATGGTAAGGTCGTAGGGAGTGTTGCTGAACAAAGAGACCTTGGAGTGTAGACAGGATAGTGAAGAAGGTGTTTGATATGTTTGCCTTTATTGGTCAGTGCATTGAGTATAGGAGTTGGAGGTCATGTTGCGGCTGTACAGGACATTAGTTAGACCACTTTTGGAATACTGCGTACAATTCTGGTCTCCCTCCAAAGGAAGGATGTTGTGAAACTTGAAAGGGTTCAGAAAAGATTTACAAAGATGTTGCCAGGGTTGGAGGGTTTGAGCTACAGGGAGAGGCTGAATACGCTGGGGCTATTTTCCCCAGAATGTTGGAGGCTGAGGGGTGGTTTATAAAATCATGAGGGTCATGGATAGGGTGAATAGACAAGATATTTTCCCCAGGAGGGGGAAGTTCAAAACTAGAGGGGCATAGGTTTAAAGTGAGGGGGAAAAGATTTAAAAGGGACCTAAGGGGCAATTTTTTCACACAGAGGGTGGTGTGTGTATGGAATGAGCTGCCAGAGGAAGTGGAGGAGGCTGGTACAATTACAACATTTAGAAGGCATCTGGATGGGTATATGAATAGGAAGGGTTTGGAGGGATATGGGCCAAATGCTGGCAAATGGGACTAGATTAATTTAGGATACCAGGTTAGCATGGAGGAGTTGGGCCGAAGGGTCTGTTTCTGAGCTGTACAGCTCTATGACTCTATGGTGTGACTGCCTCCAATGCCAGTATACCTTATACTTGGATAAGGGACGCAATACACTTCACAGTATTTCAGCTGTTCTCTGACCAGTGCCTTGAATACTTTCTAAAAGACTGTGTTGCTTTTGTACTCCATTCCCTTGGAGATAAACGCCAACATTCCATTTGCCTTTCCTGCATTTGATTCCTAGCTTTTTGTGATTCATGGATGAGACTCCCAAATCCCTTTGTTTTTTAGCTTCCTGCAGCCTTTCTCCAGTTAAATAATAGTCAGGTCTTACACAAGACGATGGAACACTCCCCATTTTCCCGGATGGGTGCAGCTCTAACATTACTCAAGAAGCTCGACACCATCCACCACAAAGCAGCCTCCGCTTGATTGGCACCACATCCACAAACATCCCACTCCCTCCACCACCGACGCTGAGTAGCAGCAGTGTGTACCATCTACAAGACGTGCCACAGAAATTCACCAAAGACCCTCAGACAGCACCTTCCAAACCCACGACCACTTCCATTGAGAAGAACAAGGGCAGCAGGTACAGGGGAACACCACCCTCTGCAAGTTCCCCTCCGAGCCACTCCCCATTCTGACTTGGAAATATGTCATCGTTCCTTCAGTGTTGCTGGGTCAAAATCCTGAAATTCCCTCCCTAAGTGCATTGTGAATCAACCCACAGCGCATGGGGACTGCAAAAAGGCAGCTCACCCCCACCTTCTCAAGGGGCAATTAATAAATGTCTCTCTTCCCAGCGAGTCCATGAAAGAACGAGTTCAAAGAAATAACAAAGGTGGAAGAAGCGGGAAGGGAAAACAGTTATCACATGCGGGATCTTGCTGTGCACCCCATTGGCTTCCCCGTTCCCTATGGTGCAACACTTCACATTGGCTGTGGCTTAGTGGCGAAAGGTGAAAGCACTTTCCTTCTTGAGCTGTAGTGTCCAGTCCTGAAACACAGTGACCCAAGGGTGGGCACTGTACTGAAGTTAACCCCCACCCTGCTGACAACACAGCGGGAACTAATGGCAACACAGCAAAGTCAGTCTGTTCGCAATCAGCTCCTCTCTCTGTGCGTGTAAGGGAACGCATTCCTTACCCTCTCCGCAGGAGGCTTGGCGAGGATGATTGGTGTTTTCTGCATGTTTCCTGTCTTACCAGTCCTTCACGCCCATCCTGCAGAGACAAGCACCGGTTACAGACTTGCTGAGAGACCCCCTAACCTCCCCATCACCCCCCCCAGCTCAATGTGACACTGATGGCTCAAAGGATGGTGCCTGCAATGTACTGCTACCTCACTGGAAACCCAGCTGCAAAGGCTGGGCTAAAGGAGCCTGTCCTGCCCATTCTGGCCCTTCGAAAGATCTCTCTGATTAGTCCCACACTCTCCCCTCCCCCCCCCCCCCCCCACCTCCCCACTGTTCCTCCCCACACACAGGTTCATGCAAACTTGCCCCCGCCCCAACCATTCAGCATTCGTCGGATTAACCCCCACTTTTGAAAGATTTTGTCAAATCGTCTCACACCACCCTTCCAGGGCGTACGTCCCAAATCACAACATCTTCTAGTGTCAAAAAACAACTTCCCCGCCTCTCCCTACCACCCCCCCCCCCCCTCAATCCGTGTCCCTCTGGTGCCCCCACCCTCCTGCCCCTGGAGACTGTAACTCCTCATCAACTCCATCAAAAGCCCCTCACCCTCATGAGTACCTCAAATCAAATTCCACCCCCCCAACCTTCTCTGCTCCGAGGAAAACAGGGAAACATCACATAGTTGCCTGTTCTTCCTCGCCTTCTGTGTATTTTAAGTAACAAGCGAATGATGTTCAACTGCAAAATTTGCTCCTCTAACAATTGAGTGCGCCCCATTAGCCGAATAGTACATCCCACTGCCCTCAACCACATGATGAATGCCTGTGCTGAGGTATCCTGATATGGGCTTTGTAAAAATTATACTCAGTGATTCAAAGCTATGTTACATCAGAATCGTCCAATAATCTTATTTAAGCAACAGGCAAAGGCAAAAATTACAAGGACTTGCATTGCTGGATCAAGCACGTATTTTTTTAAAAAAGAAAATTTATCAATATCTGCTTACCACTATATTACCTGGACATGTGGCAAATCTTTCTAAACCTGGAAGCAGCAACTCACTTTGTGCCTACTGGAATGATTCACAAAGAGGACATTAGCATCAGTACTTTCTTGTACATTACCTTACAGGGTCATACAGCATGGAAACAGACCCTTCGGTCCAACCAGTCCGTGCCGACCACAATCCCGAACGAAACCAGTCCCACCTGCCTGCTCCTGGCCTATGTCCCTCCAAACCTTTCCTCTTCGTGTACTGATCCAAATGTCTTTTAAACGTTGTAACCGTACCCACATTAACCGTTTCCTCAGGAAGCTCATTCCACACGTGAACCCACTTTGTGTAAAGGAAAGTCGCCCCTCATATTTTTTGTTAAATCTTTCTCCTTTCATCTTAAAAATATGCCCCCGGTCTTGAAATCCCCCATCCTAGGGAAAAGACCTTATCTATATCCCTCATGATTTTATAAACTGCTGTAAGGTCACCCCTCAACCTCCTACGCTCCAGTGAAAAACGGTCCGAGCCTCTCCTTATAACTCAAACCCTCCGTTCCTGGCGACATTGCGGTCAATCTCTTCTGAAACCTCTCCAGCTTAATAATATCGTTCCAAAACAGGGGGACCAGAACTGGACACAGTACTCCAGAAGAGGCCTCAACAAAATCCTGTATGACCCCAATATAATTTTGTTGAGGACCATCCCTGGTTTCTTTAACAGTGATCAACACTTGCAGGTCTCTGAGATTGACTTAAAAGAAAACAGCACTGCCATCTACAGGCTGAGGCCATTCTGGCCTCTGACTGTCTCCATTCTATTTCGATAAGGGATTCTTTTTTCAGCTTGGCAACCTGTGACCAGTATTTCAGCACTGGATCTGCAACTGTTGACAATATATATTAATGACTTGGAGGAAGTAAGTGAATGTACTTTAGCCGAATTTGCGCATGACACAAAAATAGGTGGAAAGGCCAGAGGGACGCAGCGAGATATCAATTATGTTTCAGTGAGTGGGCAAAAAAGTTCGCAAATAGAGTGGGAAAAATGTGAAGTTGTTCATTTTGGACATGAGAATAAAAGAATACACAGTATTTATTTAAATGGAGAGAAACTGCAGAAAGCTGCTGTACAAAGGGACTTGGGGGAACTCATGCACGTTACACAGTAAGGTGGCACACAGGGACAGCAGGGAATCGGGAAGGCTTCTGTTGGTGTTTCCGATTTCCAGCTTCTGCAGCACTTTGTTTTTTTTAATGCTTAAGATTAATGGAATGCTGGCCCTTATTTCGAGGGGGTTGGAGTATAAGAGTAGGGACCTCCGACTGCAACTGTACAAGGTGCTGGTCAGACCACATCTGGTGTACTGGGAGCAGCTTTGGTCCCTTATTTAACAGGAGATGTCATTTCATAGGAGGCAATTCAGAGAAGTTTCACTAGGATTGTCCCTGGGATGGAGGGATTGCCTGATCGGCAAAGTTTAAACAGGTTGGGATTCTACACACTGGGGTTTAGAAGAATGGGAGGTGATCTCACTGAAACATATCGGATTCTTAAAGAGCTTGACAGGGTAAACGCTGAGAGAACGTTTCCCCTCATGGCAGAGTCTAGGTCCAGAGGGCACAGTCTCAGAATAAAGGGGCACCAATTAGAACTGAGATAGAGAGGAATTTCTTCTCTCAGAGGGTTATGAGCTTTTGGAACACCTTGCCACAGAGAGCTGTGGGAGCAAAGCCCGTGTGTATATATAAGGCTGAGGTAGATTCTTGATCAGTCAGGGAATCCAGGATTACGGGGAAAAGGCAGGAAGGTAGATGTGAGGAATGTCAGGCTAGCCACGATGTTATTGAACGGCAGTGCAATTGCAAAGGGCAAACGGCCTATCCTGTTCATATTCCTTGTGGTCTTGAGGGGGAGAGAGAGAGGTGGAAGAAGGGGAAGGGAGGGGGGAAGGGAGGGAGAGAGAGAGAGAGAGAGAGACAGAGAGAGAGAGAGCGCGAGAGGGAGAGAGATGGAGTGATTTAGGGAGGGAATTACACAGCTCAGGGCCGCAGGCAACTGAAGGCACAGCTACCACTGGTGAAGCTAACTGGGGGATGCGCAAGAGGTCAGAATCGGAGGAACGGTCAAAACAATGAAATTAATCCCAAAAAGAATACCTCAACTTTCAATCTGAGTGGCCATCAAGCTTGTAAATTTCTACATCTAATCACTGGTTAGACCCTGGATGGAGCATCATTCCAAATATGGACACTATATCCACCCTTACCGAGACACACGAACTATGAACCAGGAAGTGCCAATTCAAATATCGAATTCAAGTTTATTTCATTCAATCGAATGGAAAAAGAGTAAGGAAGAGAGATGGAATTAAGGGAATAAAAGGAGGTGGGAAGTCATTTAATAAAAGAAACTGTTTTAATTCTCAAATCTCCCAACGACAATTCAAATCAAAAGGAATGGGACCCAATGCTTCTCAAGGGGAAATTTTTAGCAAAAAGCCTGGGCTCTTACAGTAGAAGCACTGCCTGTTGTACCTCGGTCACAGTTCCACAGCAACCACTTCTGTCAGGATTTCAAAACTGCAGCTCGCAACCCCACTTTGGGAAACCCTGCCACTGAGGACTTTTATCTTAGTATCGGGGTGTTTGTTTTTAAACTAGATTATTCACGTTTAGGGTGCTAAGTGCCTGGAATGCACTGCCAGAGGTGGTGCTGGAGGCAGATACAATAGCAACATTTAAGAGGCATCTTGACAGATATTAGAATTAGGTTTCATTGTCACGCACACTCAAGTACAGGGATACAGGAGTAGTGAAAACTTTAGTGTCACCAGCTTAGGTACAAGGTACCTCGGGACAAACTCTCAGGTAAAAAGTAGAAAAAGAAAGAAATAAGTTAAAAGTTCAACACTACAGTTCTTCTCAGTATAAAGTAGGGAATAAGAAATAAAGTCAAAAGTTTCAAATTGCAGCCTTTCTGTAGCCATATGCCTGGCCAAGGGGCCTGCTCCAGTGCAGTACTAGTCTGTGTTCTTAGGCACCAGCTAGACTATAGTGACCCATTCCATTCTGTCCCTCACTTTAGGAAGCATGTTGAGGCCCCAGAGAGGGCTGAGGAGGAGAACGTATTGGATGTCTCAGGGATGAGTTCATGTGGAGAGACTGGGAGCAGCTGAGATCCTTTTCCTTAGAGCCGAGAAAGATAGGGAGGAGATTTAAATGGGAGTTCAAGGAGAATTTACTTTTGGCACAGCAAGCTGTCGTGATCTGAAACGTGATGCTTGAAAGGACAGCAGGCACAGATTCAACAGGTACTTGCAAAAGGGGAACTGGAGAAGTACATGAAGGAGAAAGATTTGCAGAGCCATACGGGTAATGTCAGGATGGGGAAATGACCAGGGTGGGGATGGGGAACTGATACTATTTGAATTAATCTTTCAAAATTAGCACCGGCCTCTTCCTGTGCTGTGTCAGTCCATTGTGCTGAGTGGCAACATTTACAATGAGTTCATTACCTCAGACATTTACAACCATTTGCCCTGTAGTACCAGCAACAGCAATTATCACTTCAACAGCATACTCCTGGAACGAATCTAACTAGCACGATCGTAGTATAACCACCAACTGTGCATTATCGCAGAACAAGAATAACTGGCAAGAACAGTGCCCTAAAACTAATATAACAATCAAGAGCCTGTTACCACGGGATTAATACATAGAGAAGGAGCACAGTATCCGCAACTAGTCTAACTGTAAGAGGGGCATTCTACAACTAGCTTAACTAGGAGAACTACAGCAGGATCTGGACAGAGCACTATACAGTCATAGAGTTGTACAGCATAGAAACAGACTCTTCGGTCCAACTTGTCCATGCCGACCAGGTATCCCAAATCAAGCTAGTCCCATCTGCCAGCATTTGGCCCATATCCCTCTAAACCCTTCCTATTCATATACCCATCCAGATGCTTTTTAAATGTTCTATAGCTCAAACCCTCCAGCCCTGGCAACATCCTTGTAAATCTTTTCTGAACCCTTTCAAGTTTCACAACATCCTTCCTACAGCAGGGAGACCAGAATTGAATGCAATATTCCAAAAGTGGCCTAACGAATGTGCTGTACAGCAGCAATATGACCTCCCAACTCCTATACTCAATGCACTAACCAAAGGCAAATATACCAAACACCTTCTTCACTCTCCTATCTACCTGTGACTCCACTTTCAAGGAACTATGAACCTGTACTCCAAGGTCTCTTTGTTCAGCAACACTCCTCAGGGCCTTACTATTAAGTGTATCAGTCCTAGCACTAAGATGACTAACTGAATGCAGTACCCTAGAAATAGTATAACTAACAAAATCACAGTATCGTAAAGATAGTTTAACAAGAGCGTAGTATTGTTCAACAGGTATAACCAGAGGCATGCAATATTTTGGCTCTATTATAACCAGGAACACAATACCCTAGAACCAGTCTAAGAAAGCTGTAACCTATAACTAGCAGTGCCATTGTATACATTTTAACTAGGAGTACCACCCACTAACTAACGCAACTAGCAGTAATAAGTGTATACATTTAAAAGGGATACAGTAAACTATTGTAACTAGCAAATCCCTATAATAGTTTAACCAACAGTGGTGTATACATTTTAATTAATAGCACAGTACAGTCAAACTAGTACAACTGGCAGTTTCATATAGCTAGCCATTTCTATAAATAACATAACCAGTCATTCCCTATAAAGGTCTTATGAGGAAAGGCTGAGGGACTTGAGGCTGTTTTCATTAGAGAGAAGAAGGTTAAGAGGTGACTTGATAGAGACATACAAGATGATCAGAGGATTAGATAGGGTGGACAGTGGGACCCTTTTTCCTCGGATGGTGATGGCTAGCACGAGGGGACATAGCTTTAAATTGAGGGGTGATAGATATAGGACAGATGTCAGAGGTAGGTTCTTTACTCAGAGAGTAGTAAGGGCGTGGAATGCCCTGCCTGCAAAAGTAGTAGACTCGCCAACTTTAAGGGCATTTAAATGGTCATTGGATAAACATATGGATGATAATGGAATAGTTTAGGTTAGATGGGCTTCAGATTGGTTTCACAGGTCGGCACAACATCGCGGGCCGAAGGGCCTGTACTGCGCTGTAATGTTCTGTGTTCTACGTAAAGAGTACCACTAGCAGAGCTGGTATCCATTTTAACTGATAGTAAAGTACATTCAAACTAGTAAAACCAGCAGTTCCATATAGCTAGATAGTAGGAACTGCAGATGCTGGAGAATCTGAGATAACAAGGTGTAGAGCTGGATGAACACAGCAGGTCAGGCAGCATCAGAGGAGCAGGAAGGCTGACGTTTCGGGTCTAGACCCTTCTTCAGAAAATGACCCTTCTTCCTTATAACTAGCTGGTCCCTATAACTAGCATAATCAGCCATTCACTATAACTAGTATAATTAGCAGTGCTGGTGTAGACACTTTAACTAGGGACACTGTACACTCTGACTAGCATAACTACCCATTCCATATAACCAGTCTTTCCCTATAGCTAGGTGTTCCCTATAACTAGTATAACTAGTATAACTAGCAGGGCTGGTTATGTACACTGTAATTATTAGTACAGTACATTTGAACCAGTATTACTGGCCTTTTCCTATAACTAGATGTTCCATTTAGCTATAACTAGTTCCCTGTAACTAGTATAACTAGCAGCGCTGGATCCTGCAGTCAATACCTACCTGCCTCACCTGCCCTCGGCCTCTTCCGCCCGGAGAACTGACAGCGGCGGACCCGCCCCGAGCAAACAGTGTCAGCCTCAGAGCCGTCCGGCTGGAGTGCGGGGGTTGGAAACTATAGTTCCGCCTCGATCAGATTGTTCCCCCTGCCACCACCTTCCTCATTGTCCAATCCCACACTCTTCCCCCTCACCCAGAGACAGAGAGCTCACTACCCACCCCTCCCTCCCAATATCATCTGAGCACACTTACTTTCCTCCCAGAGTGAAAGACAAAAGTTCCTGGTCCTTTGGAAATAAATGCCCTGAACATGAGGGAGACGGTTATCTTGAAGAAAGGGGAATGGCAAAATACCCCTCCCCCCAAAACAGAGGGGGTTTTTTTTAAACAGGGAACACCCAGAGAAAATAAAGTCATCGTAAAGGCGAAATTTAATGAGTTAGACAATGGTGTTACTCCATGATCGACAATACAGCACAGAACTGTTACCGTGCAGGCAGAAGCTGTTCGGCCCATCGTGCCTGCCCCAGCTCTTCAGATGAGTATCACCGCCAACAGCCAGTCACCAGATCTATCCCCGCGCCCATTTCTATCCAAATAATCAGGCGGCACGGTGGCTCAGTGGTTAGCACCGCTGCCTCACAGTGCCCCAGACCTGGGTTTGATTCGACCCTCGGGCGACTGTCCGTGTGGAGTTTGCACATTCTCCCTGTGTCTGTGTGGGTTTCCTCTGGTTTCCTCCCAGAGTCCAAAGATGCGCAGGTTGAGTGGATTGGCCATGAGAAATGCAGGGTTACAGGGATAGGTTAGGTGGGGGTGGGTCTGGGTGAGATGCTCTTCAAAGGGTCGAAATGGGCTGAATGGCCTGCTTCCATGCTGTTAGGGGTTCTACGAATCCTCAGTTGTAGGCTTATCTGGAACTCAAAGACAGCAGTGGACTTGAGGGGCTGGAGGAGAGGGGAAACATGTTACAATCCCTGCAGCACCCATTCACAGTGAGGGACCAACTGGTCACCAGGCAGGTGGTCTTAAAACCAGCCAGGCCTATCGACAGCATTGTATCAAGTTGGTCTCTCTAAAAGCATTACTCACACATCACCATAAAATCGCTAAGGGTTTTGTTTCAGCAGTCTTTGATAATTGCTGGCAATTGCCCATCTATTTGTGCCACTTGTGGGAGAGATTATAAGCCACCTCCTTAGACGGGTGTAGGTACGATGCTCTTTGGGATGGATCTTGACCCATTGACAGCTAAGGAATAGGCCAAATTCCAAGTCAGGATGGGGAGTGGCTCGGAGAGGAGCTTGCAGGGGGCTGGTGTTCCCATGTATCTGCTGCCCCTTGTCCTTCTAAATGGAAGTGGCTGTGGGTTTGGAAGGTGCTGCCTGAGGATCTTTGGTGAATCTCTGCAGCGCATCTTGTAGATGGTACACACTGCTGCTACTGAGCGTCGGTGGGGGAGGGAGTGGGACGTTTGTGGATGTGGTGCCAGTCGAGCGGGGGCTGCTTTGTCCTGGATGGTGTTGAGCTTCTTGAGTGTTGTTGGGGCTGCCCCCATCCAGGGGCAAGTGGGGAGTATTCCATCCTACTTCTGACTTGTGCCTTGTAGATGGTGGACAGGGAATGAGGAGGCATCAGGAGGTGAGTTCCTTGCCACTGTATTGGTAACCTCTGACCTGCTCTTGTAGCCACTGTGCTTATGATCATTGGTCATTGACTTCAGAAATCAAGGAAGCACGCCCCTCTGCATTAACGGAGCTGAGGTGGAGGGGGTCAAGAGAGCGGCAAGTTCCTAGGAATGATGATCACCAACAATCTGTCCTGATCCTCCTATGTTGATGCTACGCTCAAGAAAGTACAACAACTACTTCCTCAGGAGGCTAGGGAAATTTGGCATAACCATAAAGACTCTTATCAATTTTTAATAGATGCACTGTAGAAAGCATTCCATCTTGATGGATTACGGCTTGTTATGGCAACTGCTCTTCCCAGGAACGTAAGAAACTACAGAAAGTTGTGAACACAGCCCAGACCATCAGACAAGCCAGCGTTCCATCATACTCCCTCAGGAAGGAAGCCAACATCATCAAAGACTCTGCCCAGTTATAATCTCTTGCAACCTCTTCTGTCAGGCAGAAGATACAAAAACTTACACACATGTACCAACAGATTCAAGAACAGCTTCTTCCCTACTGTTATTAGACATCTGAATGACCCTCTCAAATTTTAAATTTAATGTTGACCTCGCTCTTTGTGCACCTTACATTGTATTCCTCGCTCTACTACCCCGATGCACTTTGTATTGTATGGTCTGCCTGTACTGCACGCAAAACAAAACTTTTCTCTCTACCAAGGTACATGTGGCAATAATAAATCAAATCAAGTGTGGCAACTCCAGTTGAGTTTCTAGCCAATGGTTATCACCAGGATGTTGATAGTGAGGGATTCAGTGATGGTAATGCCATTGAATGTCAAGGATTGTCTCTTGATGGAAATAGTCATTGCCTGACATTAGCATGTTGCAAATATTCATAGATCATAGAATCCCTACAGTGTGGAAACAGGCCCTTCAGACCAACAAGTCCACACCAACCCTTGGAGCATCCCATCCAGACCCATCTCCCTATAACCCACCTAATCTACACATCCCTGAACACTATGGGCAATTTAGCATGGCCAATCCACCTAGCCTGCACATCTTTGGACGGTGGGAGGAAACTGGAGCATCCAGAGGAAACCGGAGCACCCAGAGGAAACCCACGCAGACACGGGGAGAATGTGCAAACTCCACACAGACAGTCGCCCGAGGGTGGAATTGAATCTGGGTTCCTGGTTTCTGTGAGGCAGCAGTGCTAACCACTGAGCCACCATCCCGCCCCAAATACTGCCAATTTCCTCACCTCAGTCAGACATCTCTGAGGTCCAGCCATCCAATCATAACAGGGCATCTACCGACAGACATTGGGAGGTGGAGGGGGGCGTAGAGCCAAGTGATCATTTGGCCTGACTACCCACGATTCCCCCAGCCGAGCGTGTGACAAGAGATCTTGCCAATTCCACCTGGCCAGCACAGGGACTGAAGTTTCACAGACAATTTCCATCAATTTGTCTTCCTAACCCTAAATTTTGCCTTTGGTGTCCCTTAACTTAAATTGACATGCAAATCAACCTTAATTGACTCTGAGTAAGAGGAAAACATGGAGGCATCTCCGTGGCAGCCGCAGATTGGGCCTATGAAACAGGCAATACAGAGGGCTCCACTGTGAAGGTGTGTGAGCATAAAAGTGAGGAAGTCTTGTTGCATTTATACAGGGCTTTGGTAAGATCACACCTCAAGTGGTCTGTTGTTTGGTCTCTTTATCTAAGGAATTGACTCCAAGTTTGAGAGGATTCTCCTCTGGAGAGTGATTGAGCAGAACTGTGTACAATTTCTTGTAGTTTAGGAGGATGGGGGATGAGCTATGAGGAGAGACTAGACAGGCTTGGATTGTTTTCTCTAGAGCAGAGAAGACTGAGGGGGGACATGATTGAGGTGTATAAGATTATGATGGGTATGGACAGGGCAAATAGAAAGGAAATGTTCCCCTTGGTTCAGGGATCAATCACAAGAGAGCATAGTTTTAGGGTAGGGGGCAGGAGATTGGAAGGGGATTTTGGAAAAAACCGTTTTCACCAGCGGGTGGTGGAATCTGGAATGCACTGCCTGGGAAGCTGGTGGAGGCTGGAAACCTTACAACCTTTAAAAAAAATTTGGATAAGCACTTCAAATATCATAAGATGCGAGGATATGGGACAAATTGGGATTATAGCACTCTTATGTCGGTGCTGAAGGACCTGTTCTGCACTGTATGAATCTAGGAAATAATTAAAATTCTTACGGTCAAGGCTGATCGGCTATTCCCTCCTGAAGTCCACCATTCCCCTCCCAGAAGAGTCTGAACCATGACCAGGCCACTGTCTCAGGATAAGCAGTAGGCCATTTTGGATGGAGATGAAGAGAAATATTGTCACTCAGATAGTGAAAAGCGTACTCCAACCTTTTACCCAGGAATTCTTCCCTTGAGTGACAGACAAAAAAAGGGAGGCAACTCAGACTTTAATCAAACAAACCCTTCTTTATTTAACTCTTTAGCAATCAACATTCAACATAAATTGTTGCAACATTTACCTTTTACTTCATCCAGCTTTAACTCACATCATTTAACTTCACTTTACCTCATTTTAACCTAATCCACGTTTAACCTGAAAATTTAACTGCATAAGTTTGGCTCAAAACGAATTCTACCCCGAATCGAGTGAAGTGGCCAATTTTGCCCATGGTGTAGATCTTGCATTATGGGGATTTTTTTGTCTTCTCTGAAGATTTATCTTCTGTGAAGACTTCAGGGCATGTGCCCGTCAAATATTGGTCTCCAATGGTCACTCCCTCAAAACCTTTTGTCCTGCTAACTTTTACCTCAAAGTATGCTCATCCTAGCACTGCTGCCTCACAGTGCCAGGAACCTGGGTTCGTTTCCAGCCTCGGGCGACTGTCTGTGTGGAGTTTGCACATTCTCCCCGTGTCTGCGTGGGTTTCCTCTGGGTGCTCTGGTTTCCTCCCACAGTCCGAAGATGTGCAGGTTAGGCGGATTGGCCATGCTAAATTGCCCGTAGTGTTCAGGGAGGTAGAGGGTGCATGTTAGGTGGGTCATAGGGGGATGGATCTGGGTGGGATGCTCTGAGGTTTGGTGTGGATTTGTTGGGCCGAAGGGCCTGTTTCCACACTGTAGGGATTCTAATTCTGATTCTGATTCTAATTCTCTGGCACTCAGCCTATGAATTGGCCAAACCTGATCACAACGCTCGAACCCAACCAATGACTTGTCGAAAACACCCAAATGTTTACACCAAGTCGTAAACAGTCATTTACTGTGGTCCACATATGGCAATAAGGTGCCATTATGTCTAACTGACCGCCATAAAAGCTCCTTTATTGGAGTTGACACAGGAAGCTGCAGGCCACAGCTTACAGAACAAGTTAACAACATGAGGAAGGGTCACTTGACCCAATTTCTCTCCATAGATGCTACCAGACCTGCTGAGCTTTACCAGCAACTTCTG